TCTGCTTCTGGTCCTGGTCCTGCTTCTGGTCCTGGTCCTGGTTCTGGTTCTGGTCCTGGTCCTGGTCCTGGTTCTGCTTCTGGTCCTGGTCCTGCTTCTGGTCCTGGTCCTGGTTCTGGTTCTGGTCCTGGTCCTGGTCCTGTCCGTCCATCAGATCATCTGTTCATGATGCATCCATCCAGTTTTGGTTCATATTTAATGAATTTCCTTTACTCATCTCACACTTTTGAATTAAATAAATTATTTAATTATTAAATTAGCGTAAAAAGGACGGAGAACTCTGGAAACGTGAATCTAGAAAACTCAGCAGTGGTTTCTGGAAGCGGTCGGGAAGAGCAGACGGATTCTCCCGTTGAGTTGGTTCCTTCTCGCAGGGAAACGGACCAGAACCGTCCACACAGCCGCTCTGGTTCTGGACGGTTCTGGGGAAACCCAGTCTGGATGCGTCATGGCGGATCCGGCTGAGTCACTGAGGCTTTAATTAGAGTCCAGTAAGTCCAGCGGTCAGACAGAATGTCCATGGAGATCCTGTGGGAAGATGGCGGCGCTCGCATCACGATGAGCCGACCTGGCGAACGTCTGGCAGACCAAGCGGCCTGTGGAGACGGACGCCGACAGCTGGTCGTCATGTCGTCTGTCTGCGGTCGCCCCGATGACAGAAAAGTTTTATTCTTGCTTTAATCCAGACTCGTGAGGGTTTCACGTCTCCCAGACTCTCAAACTCGTTTACGCTCATTAGAGCTGATTGATATACCTGGAGGTCAGTGGACGGCTAGAAGCTCGGCCAACAAGAAACCCACAGGGCCTGAAACGCAGCCTGGAGGAACGCCACAGGAAATGAACCAAAGCCGTCCTGTTTCAGGAAGTTAAATTAGTGGGCCAATCAGTGGCGTTCATCTCTCGTTCCTACGCTAAGATGGCGGGGAGTCTGTTTGTCATGTAGCACAGCTAAAGACTAATAGCAATCAGTTTGGCTGTTTAGCATGAGAGAGTAAATGGAGGACCACCAAGTCAGATTTTCAACATGTTACTTATTCATTTGTAAATGTCAGTTCCAAACCTAGAAAGTAAATATTTAGCTTGCTATCTGTGTAATTAATTTAGTAAGAAAATATTGAGCTAATAAGTTCAGTATTTTTGCTAGGAAGCTAAATATCTAGCGTTAGCACGGCACCTAAATACTGAGCTTTCTAGTTGAATATTTATCTTGCAGTTTAAATATATAGCTTTAGATGTTTAGCTAGCTAGCTAAATATTTAGCTTCAGCGAGCAAGTGCGTATTTTGTAAGCTAAACATTTAGTTTCTAAACTAAATATTTAGCTAGTGAATTAGATATTTAGTTTGAAGCTGACATTTATAAATGAATAACATGCTGAAAATACTCTGATAAATAAGCCCCATTTCCCCCTCTGACAGGCTAAATAGCCCAAATTGTTTCTGTTAATTTGACTCTTGGGGTTTCAGAGTCGGTGTGGAGAGCCTCCCAAGCGCTGGATGTGGCTCTGATTGGACCCAGAGGTTCTTCTGGGTCCACATTAAGGTGTGTGGACAGCAGGAGTCCGGTCCCACCCAGCGGGGGGTGGAGGCCTCCACCCTGCAGAGAAGCTTCTCTGTCCCTGGATCCTTCATTCACAGCTTGAACTGAAGGCAGAAAAATTCAAACTGAAACCTAAACTAAACATTTCTGTCTAAAAAGCAGCAGAATCCGTTGTAGAGCTGAGTTTTCTGAGGGAAAGCGAACGCATCATGATTTGAGAGCAGTTAGTGTTAAGTTTATTAATTTGTGGATTATTTACATCTCAAATCTTTAGATTGAGTTTACGATAATAAATCTAAGTTCCAGGTGTGGAAACGGATAATCATGTAGCTGCAGTTCCCACCAGGCACCACTAGAAGGCTCTGCAATCCTCTCCACTCTTCCCTACTCTTCATCCTCTCTTCCTCCTCCTCTCTTTCTCTCTCTCGTCAGAATCTGGTCACCAGCTCAGCTGCGTTGCCACGGCAACAGCAGCTTCCTCCTTCATCACCTGCTGTCCCCCACCTCCTTCCACCCCTCTGTCGACCAGCCCTCCTCCTCCTCCTCCTCCTCTCCCTCTTTTCCCTGCGATGGCCCTCTCTCCGCCCCTGCTTACCTGCGAGGAAACCCCTTCCTCTGGAGGTAAGCCCCGCCCCCTCCCACTTGTAGCACTCCTGATTGGTCCAGAGGGCCCCCTGCAGACATGCTGGTGGGGAAAAATGCTTTCAGGTCAGCATAGCAGGAAGTGGACTGCAGCACAGGGCATTCTGGGTAACACTAGCGTTAGCTTAGCGCTAGCAGGAGAAACGACTGGTGGTGTTTTACCAGAAATCTGACGTCTCTGTTTCTGATTCCATCTGGTGAAACAGGAAGCTGCTCTCAGTGTCTTCAGAGGGTTTTTTGTCGTTTCCTTCAGTGGTTCTTGGTGCAGCGCCCCCACAGGCCAGGAGGGGAACAGGTTGGTTTGACTCAGAGCCACAGCAGCTGGAGAACGCAACGTACCGTCAGGAGGAAAAATGCTACGATTGTTTCTTATTTTGGCGTCTGGTGACGTTAACAGTGATCAATGGTTTTGATGTCTGAGCAGCAAAATCTGCAGTTCCAGTTCAGCAGAAAGAGTAACTCTCGGAAAACTTAATCCAGAACAGATTTGTGGATAAATTTATCAGATCTGATCTGAAAATCCTCCTGAACGTCTCTGCTCATGAAGACTTAACTGCTGCACGTCTTATTTTATTGTTCTGTTACAAACAAGGAGCTGAAGAGGTTCCATGTTATAAATAGGAGTTCAATAATGTTACAAAATCTATTTTCTGTTTACTCAGTCGGTGTTTAATGCAGCCGACACAAAATAATAATTAATAATGTAATGATGGGTTTTTTAAATTATGAAAAATGTGATCCTTCGTCATGAGAAGACGGCCGGTTCTTTTGATAAGAGAACTTATCTACTTATCAATTAATCAATAAAATTAATCAACTTTAGATTATCTCATTAATGATTACATGCATCTGTAGTCAGAACCTGAAGGTGGCGCTGGGCGCTGTTTCCTCTGAGTCTGCTGCTCTGAAGGGTCTGGTGTGTGTGTGTGTGTGTGTGTGTGTGTGTGTGTGTGTGTGTGTTGACGTCACGTCGGCTGCTGCATGTCGGGAGGATTTTGAGGTTCTGGAAGAATCATCCGGTTCTGATCGGGGAGAGAGGGGAGGAGACGGTCGCCACAGCAGCAGCTTTTGCACGCGCTCAGTGCGGCTGCTGCCAGTCGTCGTCATAGCGATGCCGCTGGAGCCTCAGCATGTCTGAGTCCTGGACGGTTCTGTCCAACTTCTCACTGCCAGAGAGAAACATGCTGCGGCGCTCCGAGAGGTAGGGCTGCATCCATCCGTTCATCCAACGTCCGCCGCCCTCTGAGGCTCTGGGTTTCTCGGGGATTTGTGTCGGCATGGCGACGGGAAGCTTCCTGTTGCTGTTTGTTGAGGAGCTGCGTTTCATCTCTTCTTCTCATCTGACAGGAAGCAGGAGATTCAGAGCAGCTTTTCCTGATTTCTTCTTCTCTTCTCCTGCTGACACCTGCACAGATTAACTGCGCTCTACCATCTTGGATCATGCAGGAAACTTGCACTGCACCGATTACAGTTTCTGACCTGCTGATTCTCAGTTTGGTCGATGCTGTTTTATTGAATTTTTTGTCTGAATGTTGCTTGTTAGTAGCTGTGCTTGATTTTTAGACCTGTGCAGAGGTAGATAAGATCGTTTGATAAGATCAGCTTCAGATGCATCGGCCGATCCTGATCTCCTAATAAAAGGAAACCGCGGCAGATTTCTTGGTGCACGCCTACAGGATGTCATATCACGCCGGTAAATTAAACTTTATGGTGATGTGCTAATTTCATGGCGTAAATCTGTCACCAGATGTAGAGATGAAGGCAAACGGGTCAGGAAGCGTCGCAGCTGAGAGGCGCCGTGCGGTGATGCTTCCTGTAGCTCAGCTGCCTTCCAGTCTGGACTGAGTTTCACAGAATCAGCTGATATCTGTGATACGGAAACGATGCACATGGTTTCCCCCGGTGTATTATAAGCCTGGCGGGCCACCAGGCTTTACTTGTGCTCCCACCAGGCTAAGCATTGCTTGTTTACTTAGATTTGGTGTTCAGGTATTAATGTTACAATCTTTCAATAACACATAATTATCAAGTGATATTTTCAAACTCAAAAACACGACTGCCCTAGCGCCCAGCCACCGGACTGACCCGGTTTTCTGGGGAAACCTTGCATGCAGCGTCTGCAGTGTTTTGGCCACTGCAGCTCCCGTACCGCCGTTGCCTGGTGAACCGGAGCTCAGCTCTGCGTCAGCTTGCCTCTCCACAGAAAGAACAAACCGATCAGCCACGGCGAATTCCTGAAACACCGACGACTTCCACAAAAACCAGATAGCAGAAGCTTCAGGGCCACCGAGTTTCATGAAACAGGGGAAATATTTCCTTCCTGACCCGGAGTATTGGGGCTCAAAGATACGACAAAGAAACACAGAGAACAAGCTAGCTGCAGCTAGCCACGTCTGCTAGCTCTTTAGCATTTCAGTTTGTTTGAGATGAAACTGTGATGTCGTTATTAAAAAAGCAATGTAAAACTGGGCTGATATTTTATAACCTCAAACCTACTTTAAGCTCTGCTGCGTTCAGGAACCCTGTTTTTTATCAGCTTCTGCTAGTGGTGCATTTAAAGGCTGCAGGAAACCTGAGTTCTGATCTGCATCCAAACCCAAAGCATTGCTTTCTCCAGCTGGAGACTTTAAGCCGTCCAACCTGGCAACCCGCGGCTCAGCCGTCCAACCTGGCAACCCGCGGCTCAGCCATCCAACCTGGCAACCCGTGGCTCAGCCGTCCAACCTGGCAACCCGCGGCTCAGCCATCCAACCTGGCAACCCGCGGCTGAGCCGTCCAACCTGGCAACCCGTGGCTCAGCCGTCCAACCTGGCAACCCGTGGCTCAGCCGTCCAATCTGGCAACCCGCGGGTCGGTTCTGATTCTGCTGCTCCCGGTCGGACCTGCCGTCAGTCAGCAGAAAGGAGGCCATTTTGTTTCAATACTGGTGGTGGCAGCATCATGCTGTGGGCCTGCTTTGAAATGCAAACCTGCTCAGTTAAAGTTTGGCTCAAATCAATTCATTTTAATAAAAAACCTGATTTTTGCTCAGATGAGCCGTTTGGAAAGATACAAAATTAATATCAATAATTTGGGTTGTTTATTTTTTCCTATAAGAGGAAAAAATTAGTTTATTTTTCAAAGTTATGTTATTTATTCATTTATAAATGTCAGTTTCAAACTAAATATTTAGTTCGGAAGTTTATATTTAGATAATTTACTACTTTAAAAATGTTTAGCCTGTTAATTAAATATTTAGTTTGGATCTTAGTAAAAAGCCTGTGACGTTTAAATAAATGGATAAAATGATGAAAATGTCTGTTTATCTCTGACTGTAACAGCGCCCCATGTATCACCTCGGTGTATGTAAATGTTTGAGCTGTACTGAAGCAGGAACAGAGTCCGGCTGGTTCTGGTTCTGAGGCGTTGGAGCGTCTGTAATGGCCAACATGGAGGCTGTTCTTCCTGTCGGCTGATTACAGCGTTCAGACGGGACAATTACCGGATCACACACCGTGTGTGTTCTGACTGGTTCCACCAGAACCGGCAGCCGGGTCCGGGTTCTGACTGCTGCTGACGGTTTAATAAACGAGGTCGCACGTCTCTGGTCTAACAGCAGTAATTGTCCTGTCTGGGTTTCCGTAGCCGCGGTGCGGATCAGGCGTTCCCGTCTCTGTGACGGTCTGCCGGGTCTGTAATGTTTCCATCAGTAACTCTGACCTGCTGGTGCTGCTGCCGTCACCATGGCGACGTCGGGGCATTTAGCAGCTGCTGCGGCCAATCAAATCGCTGGAACCAGCGTTGTGCTGGAATGGCGACTGGGAATCAGTCAGGAGAAATTAGGAACTCTGATTGGCTCGTTGCAACGGCTCCAGCAGGTAGGAGGCGGAGCCACTCACCTGTGCTGACCTGCTGCTAACCTGAAGCTGTGTGTTTGTGTCCACAGCTGCCGGGCCAGCAACAGGAAGAGTCTGATCGTGACGTCCAGCACTTCCCCGACTCTTCCTCGGCCGCACTCCCCGCTGCACGGACACACAGGTAACACCTGCACCGCCTCCGACCAGCAGGGGGCAGAGTGCTTTTTATCATCACTGGATCATTTCTTTCGAGAAACCTTCAACTAACAGCTTTGCTACGGTAATAGTTGTTTCTCTGGATTAAAAGTTAAAATATTAATATTTAGGAAGACAAAGGAAAACATGATTATTGAGTGATGCGCCACCTGCTGGACAGTAAAGAGAAACATCCTTCAGACTAAATGTTTGCTCGGTCCTTGATCGGCGCCGGTTGGTAACGCAGCAGGGAGGAAGACTCTGGTTCTGAGGAGATGAAGATCAGTTGGACCCAGAATAGATCAGGTTCTATTTTCAGCTTCTTTCAACATTAACAGGAAGCAGCAGTGATATTCTCCTCCTCCTGCATCCTTTGACGCTGCGTTGCCGTGGTAACGGTGTCAGTCATGTGTCCTTGACCCCAGAAGCAAACATCCTGAGAGCAGCTGATTCGAACATCTGCCCTGAACCCAGACTCATCCAGGACGTGGCGATCCTATTCAGTAGGAGTAATGGGGCTGTTGAGGTGACCTTAGTGGCTCTACTATTGACCTTGAGGTTCCTGGTGCTGACCTTGACGGCCTTATGAGTGACTTAGCATGGCAACAGTAACCTGACCGTGGAGCGAGACGGTAGAACCAGGACTTTATGTCTGATTAGTGACCTTAATGATTCTCTGGTTGACCTTCATTTTCCTGCAGATGACCTCAGCAGCCCTAGTAGACTACTAGTCAACAAATTACTGCTATGTAGTGATGGGTAAATGAGGCGTCATGAGGCGTTTCGACTCATAGCAACACTGTATTGATACTGTATTGATACTGTGTCGCTCAATACTGACACCTGCTGGACATTAAAAATTCCTACAGGCCATGTAGTGGTTTGATGACCAAGTCCATACAGTAAGATTTAAGTCTTTGTATTTTATTGAATATTATATGTTGTATTATGTCATATCTTCAGTTACATTTAAAATATATTTGATATACAGTCAAATAATGTGAACATGAACCATAAAATGAAGATTTAAGTGAATGTGTTTGGATGAGGATGCTTGGACTGTTTTTTCCATAAATTTTTATTTGAAAAAAAAAAAGTTTTCACAACCTTTTGAAATTTAGCCTGTTAAGCTTTTTTGACAAAACTTCTGCTGTAGAAAAAAATGAAGTAAACTCTACATTTACAGCGAACCCTTGTTTTTCTTAGGGGTTGCGTTCTGAAAATAACCCGTGAGCGAAATCCGTGAAGAAGTTATCTTTATTTTCTACAATTACTACACAGCATAAATAAATACTCTACGTTGAAACCAAAGAACAAAACCTGTTTTCAGGTCAGCGGATGTTCATCAATCGGGCCTTAATGTGATCCGGAGTCGTGTCATTAAATGTCTCCTCCAGTCTGTCCCAGAGATTCCCATCTGGACCTACGGCAGAGCGACGGATCTCATCAAACGAGCCTCCAGTCGGGTTCTGCTGCCTCTGGCCACAGCTTTTTTTTTTTTTTCTTTTTTTTTCAGCAGACATTGAAAGTTTCAGTTTCCATCTCCTGAGTGGCCAATCTGTATTAAACACCGTAACTTTATTGGCACTCAGGAAGCGCGGAGATTGTTTTTACCAGTCATACGGTCAATCAGGACGCAGAACACTGTGGGGAAAAAACTGCACAAAAAAATCTGCGAAGCAGCGATACTGTGAAAAGTGAACCGCGTCATAGCGAGGGTTCACTGTATGTGAAATAATTTATAAAAAGCACCTGAGAAACACCTGAGTAGTTTGTAGAATGGCTGCATATCTGAGTTTATCTGGGACTTCATTCTCATGTCTCATGATGCCTCAGCATTGAGGAGGTGGATTTATTTAAATAAGACAGCTTAGTTAAACAAATGCGACACTTAATCTGCAGAACATAATATGAAAGTAAACTAAGAGTCAGTTTCAGCTGAATTTGGGTTCAGAAAGATCAAGTAGAAACTGACAAGAACCGGATGAAACAACAAAAATGAAAACAAATTTATTTTCCAATATAAGATCAAAATGGTCCCACACTGTGGAAACCATTCCTTTGAAGCTGCTCCATAGTTGACGCTCTAAAAGATCAAGAATTTGTTTGGCAAATGCTTTTGACAGATTCGCTTCCTTATAAACACAGTTTGGCATCCAGTGTCATTTTGAAACAGTTCCTGTTTTGGTCACGTGACTTGCTGAAACCAATACGGGTGTTGGTCTGTGGGCTGGACGCATGCGCCGGTGTTGCTGGACCATCACTACTGCTATGGTAGTTAAATAGTAATTTGTGGACCAGTTAACATCAGTGGCCCTGATGGTGATCCTGCCTGCTGACCTTAACGGTCCTGTCGCTGTGACTGTTTCGACTCTTAAACTCGTTTCCAAGCAGCCGCTCTGTTTGATGGTGGTTTTTATTTTCTCATAGAATAATCTTTAATATTTATCTGATGGGTTGGTATGAGCTGGTTAAAGCCGTTTGGTTTTCATGTTTCTGGTGAATGAAACCAATAATCCAGGATAGTTTTCTGCCTTCACTGGTTCCTCTTTGCGCTGCTGCTGTGCCAGTAAGCCTCCTGCTCTCCTACTGGTTTCCAGCAGGCTGTTCCTGGGAAAAGGTCAGATGATGACGGCGTCTCTGCCTCTCGTCCTCCTGACAGCTCGCTCCTCCTGTCAGTCGCTGCGTTTCTCCGGTTATTTCTGTGTTTCCTTATCTCAGCCTCACGGCGTCAGCGAGGCTTTAGCATGCGTCTCGTTTGCAGGAATAGTTCTGAGGTTCTGCTAAAGTAGGTCACTGTCTCTTCACTTCTAACACAAAACACTGAAAATGTAAAACAGCTTCTGTGTGTTTCCATGGTTACCCTGGATACTCGTATAGAGGCTGCTTCACAGGATGAACTTTATGTTTCTGCTGCTAATGAAGCCAGTCTGCCAGTTGGTGTTACTGGGGGGCTGTTTGAGGTCACCGCTGGTTACCATTGGTTACTGCTAGTCACCGCTGGTCACCACAGGTCACCACTGGTCACCGCTGGTTACCACTGGTTACTGCTAGTCACCACAGGTCACCACTGGTCACCACAGGTCACTTTGGGTCAATGTGTTGCTGATATCAGTCAGATTCTGCATCAGTCCAGCTGCGGCTTTAAGGCTCAGACTCACCATTGCTGGATTAAACCCAACAGAACCAGATTCTCTGTTTTGCCCTTTTACAAACTTTTTGTGAACAATAAACATTTTGACATGCAAAAGGATTTTTGTATGTCAAAAAACATGCAATTAATATATAATTAATATAATTATTAATTACAATGAATAATTATAATTCACATAATTATTAAATGTGCATTTAATAATTATGTGAATTATTAAATGCACATAATTCAGGTAAATCTGAAGAAACTACATTTAAAACTAAAATTTTCAGTCCTAGTTTACAGTTTTCTTAAAGAGAAATCTGGATTTTTCACAGATTTAAAGTAAAATATTTTCCACTATTTTTGCATGTTTTTAGCTAAATACTGTATGAAACAATATTCAACATACCAGAGCTTATGATTACATTAAAGCTGCTGTCAGTCTGGATCAGAAAGGAAACTCATTTTTGTTCTTTATTTTCTCATAAATTTAAATCTGTTAATTCGGTAAAAAAAGATAAACTTTGTTCTGAAGAATGTTTCAGGAGAAACTAGAGAGATGGATAATGTTGGACTGAAGCAGCAGCGTTGTTGAAGATAAAATCCACAGATTTAGTTTTTTGCCCTTTTCTGTGTCTTGCAGGCACCAGCCCACTGGACAGCCCTCGTAACTTTTCCCCCAACACAGCGGCGCATTTCTCCTTTGTTCCGGCTCGCAGGTGAGATCTTCCTTCACCTGAACAGAAACGCTTCAGAGCTGCTGGGCGTTAAACCGCAGCAGCGACCTGCTCTGGCTCTCTGCAGGGAAAACTGCTGCATGGAAATCAGTCTGAAATCTGCAGCAAACAGAGAGAGGCGCTGGTCTGCAGCTCATCCTGTGAAGAACGTCGTTAAAGTTACTGCTAAAAATTTAACTGCAATAACTTCTGGTTTAATCTGTCATGAGAGGAAGAAATGGAGTTTCACTTCATAAATATTTTCAGTTATTCATTGTTTTTATAAATGTTACCTTGAAAAAAATCTTTAGGAACAAGCTAATTATTTAGCTTCAAACCAAATATTATTTAGCAAACTGTCTAATTTAGCTCCATACTTAATATTTAGTTAGAAAACTAAGTATCTAGTTTAACTATTTATTTAGCTTGCTAACCAAATATTTAGCTTCAAACTAAATATTGAACTAGCAAGCTAACTGTTTAGCCTGCCAACTAAATATTTATCTGCACTCTAGAGTGACGGTCCTTGCTAGCTCTGAGTTAACTAAATATTTAGTTTTAAACATGTATAAATGAATAAATAACATGGTAAAATATCATTTTGACCCCCATTCTGTTTGTTGTAGTACAGGCTAAATAACCCAGATTATTATTATTGGCTGTATTTTTAAAGATGGCTGCCCCGTCTGGATCTGCAGCCAAAGATGCAGACGATCGCCGGGAGGCGTCACTCTGTCTGGGATTAATAACTCTTATCTCTCTGCTCTCCTCCAGTCTGCTGACAGCTTCCAAATCTCAAAAGTTAAGATCAACTTTCCCCACTAAAAAGAAATGATAGTGTTTCCATGGAAACGCCTCATTTCCTGATCTAAATCGCCCCCGGGTATTTCCATGACAACCCGTCAAACATTTCTGGCTGCAGCAGAGGCAACGAGCCGCTGATTTAAAATGGAAATCCATTTGTGTCCCGCTGCTGACCTCTGCTGCTGGGCGCTGGGACTGCAGCGCCACCCTGTGGCGGAGCTGCACATCGCACACAGCACTTCAAACACTTTCATTAATATTTTATTGTTGATTTAATCAGGGAAACATCTGTTTGATCCTGGATCAGGATGAGACCTGATGCAGGATCCTCCAGCTGTGGAGAACCATGAAATAAAAATGTTTTGTTTTCCTCACAGCCACGGACACAGAGCCGACAGGTAACTGACGCACCTTTCCTCTCCGTCTGCATCAAACCTCATTTCCACTCAAACCTCTGCTCACCAGCCGCGTCTCCATAAAACTACACTAATTCAAATAAATTCAAATGAAACATTTTCCGGTGGTCAGAAGCCCAAGTAGGCGGGGCTTGTTGCTCCAACACCTGAATCAGACACAGACGTCTCCTCTGATTGGCTGGATTTCTAATGATTTATGTCGTAGACAAACTTATTCACAGGTGGCTTAATTTAATTTATTAGTTCAAAGATCTTTTAGGAGGATATAAAGGAAACTTGGCTGGTGGCGGATTCAGCCAGATGATGAAGAACATCTGGCTCTTCATCAGTCCAGCTGCTCATGCTTCATCTTCTCTGTTCTGATTGGCTGTTTAAATCCTGAGGTTCTGATTGGTGGATGTGTTTCCTGCAGGACCGATGGCCGCCGCTGGTCTCTGGCCTCGCTGCCGTCGTCCGGATACGGAACCAACACGCCGAGCTCCACCGTCTCCGTGAGTCCGCCGCCCCGCAGGCAGGGGAAAGAAAGTACCCCCCGCAGCAGGCGGGGGAAAGAAAGTATGCCCCGCAGCAGGCGGGGAAAAGAAAGTACGCCCCGCAGCGGGCGGGGGGGTGTACTGCTGCCCCGCCTGCAGAACCGATCCGTTGGACTTTCTCCTGTTCTGGTTTCATTGGATTTGATTCTGGATTTTTTCAGGATTCGGTTCTTTTTGCAGGCCAATTTTCCCCGGATGTATTTTGGATTTGATTCAGTTTCATCTTTAATCTGGTTTTCTCTCTGCTGGTTTCAGTTTGGTTAACTGGTTTCATCCCAGTTTGAACTGGTTTCTGTGAAGCAGCTTCAGAGTTTCCGTTTCCTCCTGCCGTCGTTTGTTGTGTATCTTAGCTGGAGTTCATTCCTGCCTCTTCCTCCTTCTTCTTCTGTGGTTTATAGCCTTGAAACGCAGCCTCCCCGCCCCGCCCCCACCTGTAGCTGCTGGTTGTAATCTGTGCTCCCTCTGTGCTCCTCCTCTCACAGTCCTCCTGTTCATCTCAGGAGAAGCTCCACCAGCTGCCCTTCCAGCCCACGCCGGACGAGCTGCACTTCCTCACCAAACACTTCAGCTCTGAGAGCGTCACCGACGAGGAGGGCCGCCGCTCGCCCGCCATGAGGCCGCGCTCCCGCAGCCTCAGGTACCGCCGCCGCGGGGAGGGGTTACAGGTGGCTACACTTGTAGCTGGTCCCGTTTTCAGAACAAAAGGTTGCTACATCGATGGCGAGTCAGTTTTTTCCTTAAAGTTGCTGGAGTTGTTCTCATCAGTAGTTGCTGGTTGCTTTTGTCACCAAAAGTCTCTAAAGGATCTGAAAAGTCGCTAAATGTTACGACATAGTTGCCAAGTAACCGTTCCCCCTCCCCCCACGTTCCCCCACTTGGCCACGCCCCCTGTGTCTCTTGGCTCCGCCCACTTTGACATTTCTGGATGTTTTCTGGGGGCTTAAACTGGCGATCTGCTTGTTGTTCAGTAATCTGACTCATTTCTCTCTGAAGTTACATTTTTCCTACTAATTTGAAAGTTAAAGTGTAAAAACCTGAAAACGGTCCAGTTCAAGTTTCTGTCCTGTCCACCTGGAGGCGCCGCCATCGCTGACGGATCAGACATTACTGACCACAAGCTGCTGCTGTCTGCCTCTTCATCACCTCCTCCTCTTCATCAGCCGACCTGATGATGATGATGGATAACTTGACTAAGCTGTTATCGCTCTGCTTTCTGTTCCCACGCTCTCTCCTGGTTGGTCGGTTTCTCTGCGGGCCGTAGCCAGGCCGGGGGAACCGGGCCGGTTCCGGAGCGGTTCTGCTGGAGCCTCTAACCCTCTTGTGTCTGAGCTGATGCCTGTAAACCACAGATTCTCTTTAGTTTAGTTTCCTAGCGAGCGGCCGGCGTCCATCAGAATAATATTTATCATCATCTGATATTAACAAGTAATGGGATTATTTCAGACTAATAATTTTCTATTTTCTGGCTGAATTTATTTTATTTTTGCTATTCTTCTTTTTTATTATAATGTATTCTTAATTTTATTTAAAGTATTATTAAAATATATATGTTTTATAATTATTACAAATAATAATAAAAAATGGCTCATTAATTATTCTATTTATATAATAATTATTTAATGTTTGTAATTTCATATAATTTTTTAAACAATTATTGATTTTAACAATTTAATATCTTATCATTTTTAATAGCAGTAATAATATACAGTGAAGTTAAATGTCAGTTCAATTTATTGCCAAGTAAATTATTATGTACACTATTTAATTTTCTCTATGCTATATATATATATATATATATATATATATATATATATATATATTATAATTTGTATTAAGTTGTATTTATCATATTTTGACATTTTTTTATCATTCTTACATCTAATTTTATTTTCATCATGTTAATGTTCTTAATTATATTTAAACATACCATATTTTAAGTTTTATTTCTCTTTTGTCAGTATTTTTTGTTACTAGTTCAACCTGAAGACGAGGTGACGTAAACAAACCCCCAGGTGTGTGTGTGTGTGTGTGTGTGATGACAAACTGCATGACGTTTTCTGTCACCTTCTCATTAAGCAGGTAATTGGAGTCTGAGCTGCTGATAAATGACTTCAGGCTTTACCTCATCGCCCACATGGTCACATGATGTGTGTGTGTGTGTGTGTGTGTGTGTGTGTGTGTGTGTGTGTGTGTGTGTGTGTATGACTCATCCTGGATCTCAGTCACCCAGTGTTTTTTTTTTTACATTTAGCCATTTTTTAGCCATTTACTTTTGTTTAAGCTGCAGATATTTTATTTTCTTGTTCATTTGCAGATTTTTAACCTTTTAAAGCCAAAAACTGAAATTATTATGAATCCAGAATCACCAGAATAAATTAATAATTTGTAATTTTATTGTAAAATCAAATTTTCTTGTATTTTCCTGCTTATTTTGTGCTAAAAACATTCCCATCCACCACACCAACATATTTAGCTTAAGCTAACGCTAAGCGCTAGCTTAAATTTAATGTATATGTTAATTTACGCCAACAGTCCAATGCCAGATTATAGATTATAATTTGCATGTTCTAAAACTCTGTCATATTTATGTTTAGCTCTTGTTTTCTACTGTCCCCGTTTCATTTTGTTCTGCTACGTTTCTTGATTTGAATAAAATTATTGTGAAAAAAAGATCGAACATAAACTTCTCACCAAAATTTCAACTCACATGTTGAACTTTATTCACATGGATGTTTACAGCCAGTAGATCAGAGCTTTGGAGTTGATTTAAAAACAAAACGCTTTGAACATTAGCAGGAAGCGCCAAACCGCTAAGCTAAACATTAGCTCTGGTATTAGCAGCAGTGCTCTGACTGCTGATGTTAAATATCAAAATAATACAAAATAAAATTCATGTTCACTCTGTACGGTTTGTTATATTTTACTCCGGTTGATGTTTCGTGTGTCTGCAGCCCGGGACGCTCGCCGGTTTCCTTCGACCACGAGATCATGATGATGAACCACGTCTACAAGGAGCGCTTCCCAAAGGTCTGGAAAACTTTAAGTCCTCCATGGCAAAAATGATCCGATTTACAGAAATGCTGCTTCAGATATTCGTAGTTCATAATCCTCTAGTTCACTGTTGAATGACGTGGAGTTATGAGTCCCGCCCCCTCTGTGTGACTCCGCCCCCAGGCCACGGCCCAGATGGAGGAGCGTCTGGCCGAGCTGCTGGCCTCGGCGGCGCCGGAGAAGGTGCGTCCGATGGCCGACGGGGTCCTGAGCTTCGTGTTCCACCAGCTGATCGAGCTGTCCAGGGACTGCCTGGACAAAAGCAGAGAGGACCTCATCACCTCCAGATATTTCTACGAGCTGCAGGAGAGTCTGGAGAAGCTGCTGCAAGACGTGAGTCTGGAGTCTGGGCCGGTTCGGACCGGTCTGGACCGGTTTGGATCGGTTTGGACCGGTTTGGATCCGTCTGGGCCGGTTCGGACTGGTCTGGACCGGTTTGGATCGGTTTGGACCAGTCTGGATCCGTCTGGGCCGGTTCGGACGGGTCTGGACCAGTCTGGATCGGTCTGGGCCGGTTTGGATCGGTCTGGACCGGTTTGGATCGGTTTGGACCGGTTCGGACCGGTTCGGATCATTTAAATCAGTTATAATATTCATCTAGACGCATTCAGCACCTGCTTTAATATTTACATTTATTTTATTTTGCCTCTAAGAAGCTGATTAAAACTCCTGGTTGGTGCAAAATTATTATTAAAAATCAGGTTTCAGCTTTAGAGTTTAATAATAACCAAATATTATTACATTTGCTTTACTTAAGAATAAACACTGAATTAAAGTTTATTAAAACAACCGAGTAAATTTAACAAATAGAAAAATAATTTATTACTCCAACTGACGTTACTGTAGAAAAGACAATTAAATATAACTAAAAACTATAGAATAAATATAATTACATTCACTAAGTTCTCCAGCTGTTTTTGTCTTTTTTCTTATTTAATAATTTTTTAAAAATTTCTGCAGCAAAACTAATAGAAATCAATAATAAAGTATATTTAAAGAAAATGAATCAGATTTTATCATATGAGGCTTAATGAAGTGCAGCTGCAGTTTATTGTAGAAACAGTGAATTAAAATATAAATATTTCTGTTTCTTCTGTTACGTCTCTGAAGTGAATTAATTAGTTGTGACTCCATCTTGTTTTATTTTTTAATTTATGGCGTTTCCCCTAAATGGATCCACCAGAACCGTCGGACCGGCCCGGTTTCGCTCCGTTTACCTTCGATCGGCTCAGAGTGTGACGCAACGCTCCGTCACCTTCATCGTCTCCTTCATCTTCATCAGCGTGATGTCACCAGCAAACCGGTTCTTGTCCCGACGCTCCAGACTGTTTTCCTGTTTCTGGGCAGGGGGGCGTGTTTCCATGGCGACTGGTGGGAGACATCTCTATTGGCTCAGTGTGTGTGTGTGTGTGCCTGGGAAACACACACACACACACACTCCTGGAGTTCATTTCACGGCCCGCCGGTCGCCGCCGGCTGATGGACGGCCTCCTCGCCCGGCGGGGGGCCGGCGGTAAACGTGGGCGGGGCTTGAGGGGATTCCTCTGGCTGTGATTGGCTGTCTGGTCCGGGCTCAGCGAGGAAGAGGAGGGTGAAGCTCGTTCTGAAGCTTTAGCAGAGCTGAGGAAGAGGAGAGAACATCTGTCTGGATGACCTCAGCGGCTCCCCGGCATTGGGCTGTGATTTGCTTCGGACAGCCTGGAACCAAAACCTGAACCGGGACCAGAACCAGGACCGGTTGGCCGATGGGAGATCTTCATCCTGCTGGACCTGGAAGCATGACCCAGATGAGGCTGGATGAAGAGGAGGAAGGCTCGCTTCACCGTTGAGTTGATGTTCTGAGTTTTGTCCAGCGGTTCTGGTTCTGCTCTGGCCCCAGGTTTGGACCTACGGTTCTGATCAGCTGCTGCTGTTCTGTGCAAAAGTTGTAAGCCACAAACTGGAGGAGAAAAAGAGGAAAAAACTTCAGGAATCCTGAAGAAACGTGGAGAAAAAATCTGGATGGATCCAAACAGAAGAATGGAGTGACCCAAGACTTTTGCACGGTTCCGGACTGCTTTAGCGATTCTGCTTCCTGTTTCTTTAGTTTCTGCTTCCTGTGTTTCTTTAGTGTCTCTGTCCAAGCAGAGCTGCATCATCTCCTCCTTGCCTTCATCTCTCCTCCTCTTCCTCACCGGGTCGTGACCTCATCACCTGCCTGGCAGGCGCCGCCTCACCTTTCATCCGACCCGGCGGTGGTTACCATGGCAACCTGCATCCAGGTCAACACAGCATCAAACAGGAAGAAACACAAAATATGATTTAAATGATCCAAACTCATTTGTAAGGTCTGGATGTTTAACTGGATCAGATTAATAATCTAAAATAAACTGGGATTAAAAATAAAACTGATGACGTTTTTTTTTACATTCCTGTAAGCCGCCGTCTCCTGAAGCATTCTGGGAGTTTCTGGAATAAAAGTTCTAAAAAGTAAAATCTCACTTCTCAACTAACTCTTCTGCTGTCGGGTTTAAAACGAAAAATGAATTTAAAAACTTAATTTTAAGACTGTAAACTAAATGTTTAAATAAAGGCGTCCCAGCAGAATGCCTGATGGAAAATATCTGTACTCACCATCATGTCGGCTTCAATAAGATACAGAAACGGTCAGTGCATGGGACCGCTAACCAAGTAGCTCTGCTAAAGCTAAGGCGCTACATTCACATGGTTTTAAGCAGAAGCTAACGATGAAGAAGCATTTACAAAAACTCTGGAAAGGTTAGCTTAGGGCAAGCTAAGTGCGCTAAACGTGTTCAAAGTTAGCTTAAGCTAAAACTAGCTCTGCTGTTAGCGCATTAGCTAAAACAACACCAAACAGATCGGGTCGATCAGAACCAGAACAGTATCTGTCTCTGCTTCTGATTCTTATCCATCCATCCTTGTGATTTTTTCATATCTGACCTCTGACCTCAGCTCCGATCCGGCCCGCTGACCCGGTTCTGTGCATTTCAGGCCCATGAGCGCTCAGAGAGTGAGGAGGTGACCTTCGTCACCCAGCTGGTGAAGAAGCTGATGATCATCATCGCCCGGCCGGCCCGACTGCTGGAGTGCCTGGTAGGGACCGGACCGGACCGGACCGGCCAGACCCGCTCTGTTCAGAACCTTCCTCCTGACCTTCCTCTTCCTCGGCAGGAGTTTGACCCCGAGGAGTTCTACCACCTCCTGGAGGCGGCCGAGGGCCACGCCAAGGAGGGCCAGGGCATCAAGTCCGACATCCCGCGATACATCATCAGCCAGCTGGGCCTGACCCGCGACCCGCTGGAGGGTAAACCAGAACCTCAGAACCTGGGTGTGATCAGAACCCGATCAGAACCGGTGTCTCTAGTCTCATTCGGGTCGTCGCTGTGTCTCTGCTTCCAGAAATGACCCAGCTCAGCAGCTACGACAGCGGGAACCCGGAGACGCCCGAGACCGACGACTCAGTCGACGTGAGTCAGCGCTCAGAACCGGGCCAGTTCCCGGGTCGGGTTCTGGTTCTGACGCCTCTCTGGTCCGTTTCAGAGCCAAAGCACGGCCATCCCTCCCGCGCCGCAGACCAAACCCAAAACGCCCCGCGAGGAAGACTTTGAGAACATCAAGCTGATCAGCAACGGGGCGTATGGGTACGGCGCCGCCGACTGGGCCCGACTGGGCCCGACTGGGTCCGGTTCCATCTGACTCTCGGCTCTCCTGTCCATCCAGGGCCGTGTATCTGGTGCGGCACCGGGAGACCCGGCAGCGCTTCGCCATGAAGAAGATCAACAAGCAGAACCTGATCCTGCGGAACCAGATCCAGCAGGCCTTCGTGGAGCGGGACATCCTGACCTTTGCCGAGAACCCGTTCGTCGTCTCCATGTTCTGCTCCTTCGAGACCCGGCGCCACCTCTGCATGGTCATGGAGTACGTGGAGGGTAAGAGACCCGAAGGTTCTGGTTCTGGTTCAGTAAGACCCACAGGTTCCGGTCCGAACCTGAAATATTTAACAAAGTATTTAGCTAGCTCAGAGCTACATATTTAATTTGGAGCTAAATCTTTAGCTTTCAAACTCAGCATTTAACTAGAAAGCTAAATATTTACCTCAAAACTAGCTAGCTAAGTGTTTAGCTACTTCAGGCCAGACTGTTTAATTTGCATGTAAATAGTTAGCTTGCTAACTAAATATTTAGCTGGCTATCCGCCTGCGGTTTGGTCTGTCCAGGTGGAGACTGCGCCACGCTGCTGAAGAACATTGGCGCTCTGCCCGTCGACATGGTGCGGATGTACTTTGCTGAGACCGTCCTGGCTCTGGAATACCTGCACAACTACGGCATCGTGCACCGAGACCTCAAACCCGACAAGTAAGACTCCCGGAACCTCTCGGAACCTTCCAGAACCTTCTGATCCAGCTCAGGCTCATGCTGTCTCTGTCCTCCTCAGTCTTCTCATCACGTCTCTGGGACACATCAAGCTCACGGACTTCGGCCTCTCCAAGATCGGCCTGATGAGCCTGACCACCAACCTGTACGAAGGCCACATCGAGAAGGATACCCGGGAGTTCCTGGACAAGCAGGTACCACTCCAGGCCCGGTCCGGATCAGGCTCGGTTCTGGTCCGGTTGGGTTCTGAGTGTCCATGGTTTTTCTTCTTCTGCGTGGCCCGTCTGCAGGTGTGCGGCACGCCGGAGTACATCGCCCCGGAGGTCATCCTGCGGCAGGGCTACGGCAAGCCGGTGGACTGGTGGGCGATGGGCGTGATCCTGTACGAGTTCCTGGTGGGCTGCGCGCCGTTCTTCGGAGACACGCCGGAGGAGCTGTTCGGCCAAGTCATCAGCGGTGAGCCGCAACCAGAACCCGACGCTCAGGATGGAGGGTTCCCTCTGACTGACTTCCTGTTTGCTCTCCTCCCAGATGAAATCGTGTGGCCGGAGGGCGACGAGGCGCTGCCTCAGGACGCCCAGGACCTGATCGCTAAGCTGCTCCGCCAGAACCCGCTGGAGCGGCTCGGGACAGGTACCAGCTTTATTGTTCCTGAAACCGGTGTTTCTCATTTCCATTTCTTCATTGCCAAGTGTCGATAAAAAGCATCAAACCCAAAGTTAGAAATAACTTTTAGAATTTTGTTCACATGTTGTTTATTTTGTTGCATGTTGAAAACATTAATCCTTCTAAATCTGTTTTTATTGCACAATATTAGCTAAAGTTTAGATTTAGAAACCGACAGGCGTATTACACAGTCTGACCACTAGATGGTGGCAAAGCACTTCTAAATAAATCAGCCAATATTTGAAAGAAGGTAGTTAGTTTTGATTGGTTCTGATCCTGGTTCTGGTTCTGGGTCAGGAGGAGCCTTCGAGGTGAAGCAGAACCCGTTCTTCACGGATCTGGACTGGAACGGCCTGCTGAGGCAGAAAGCCGAGTTCATCCCTCAGCTGGAGTCCGAGGACGACACCAGCTACTTCGACAGTACGTCCCTGAGTTCTTCCGGCCCGGTTCTGTTCTGGTTCTGTGGAGCTCACTGGCTGACACTGTGTGTTTGCTCGTCAGCTCGTTCGGACCGGTACCACCACGTGGATTCAGAGGAGGAAGACACCAACGACGACGAACACGTGGAGCTGCGGCAGTTCTCCTCCTGCTCACCGCGCTTCAGCAAGGTACCGACCCGATACCCGGTTACCTGGATACCCGGTTATCTGGTTACCTGGATACCTGGTTACCCCTCAGGGTTGCCAGGTTGGACGGGTTTGCACCAAACTGGGACGGAAAAATCAGTTCTGAAATTTGAGCTTCTTTTCTCGTTTGCTGGGTTTTAGGAAATGTTCACCGTAATTCTGTGGCAGAAAACAAAAAACATTTCCATCAATCTCCGTGTCCTTGGACTCTTTTATTCTGGTCAGAATATAATAAAGAACAAACAAAAATGTTATGAATTGATGGATATAAATGGCTGCATTACCATCAGATTTGGGCTGGGCGGTTTTTCGCTGTTTGTTTGGGCTGGAAACTATCGTTCAGATCTGGCAACCCCGGTTTCCATGGCGACGATGTCCCTGCAGGTGTACAGCAGCATGGAGCGTCTGTCTCTCCACGAGGAGAAGCGGACGCCGCCGCCCACCAAGCGCAGCCTCAGCGAGGAAGGAGGCGACCGCGTCGACAGTCTGAGCGGACTCAAGACCCGGGACCGGTCCTGGCTGGTTGGATCGCCGGAGATGTGAGTCGCCGTCGGTTACCGGGGAACCAATAAACCAACAAACCATTTAAACCAGTAAACACTGACCTTTTTTCCACCAATGCATGGCTTTGGTTTCCATCATTCTGTCAGGGCGGCCATCTTGGTTCACAGCTTCTGTTTATTTACCTTTTTAATTTAGGTCAACAGTTATTAATATTAGAGACTTTTTATTTATTCCAACTATAAAATCATAGTAAAGTCATAACATCACCAGAATGAAGTTGTAATTTTGAGAACTTCTGCATTAAACGTAAAAATAGACGAATGTTTTGAAGGAAGAACCACAAACTGAGCTGCTCTCCTCAGACTGATCATCAACTTTCTATTGCTTCTTTATTCTGCTGCTATTTTGACTTTATTCTCATAATTAAACAACATTTCCTGCAGCCTGGAGCTGATACTCTGTCATAAAATAATTACTGAAATTAAAGACAAATGTGAGAATAATTTCTGTCCTTGGTAATTTCGTAGCTAGAGAGTAGATCAGGTCTGGTGTGAGGTTTTATTTTCCGTCGTGTCTCCTGTCCTTCCAGCCTGCGGAAGCGTCTCTCCGTCTCCGAGTCGTCGCACACGGAGAGCGACTCCAGCCCGCCGCTGACGGTCCGCAGGCGCTGCTGCTCCGCCATCATCGAGATGCCGCGCTTCGCCATCTCCGCCGAGGAGGAAGGAAGTCCAGGTGAGCACAGACTGTCCGTCGGATCAGCTGCAGAACGGCTCGCAGGAAACATCGGATGCTCTTCTCTTCAACTTGTTCTTAGGGTCGCTCCTTAAAAAGTCTTAAATTCATGTGTCTAAAATTAAAGCCTTAAAACGTCTTAAATGCATCATAGAAATGTAAGTTGGCCTTAAATACGTATGTTTTGTTGCGGCAGGAAGATTTAATATACTTTTTTTATCTCATGGTATTTTTCTGTTAGGCAGGTCTCAGAAACATCTTCATTGCATTCTGTGACTCAAGGTGTTTGAGGCTACCGCTAATAGCTGCTAACATACCCACACTAGCTAGTTAGCTAAGTTTTTAGCCTCTATCATGGACACACAGCCGTGTTCACTGTTTTGGCTCTTTGTTGTAGGTTCCCAGACCCATCCCTCATATTTATAGATTTAATTCCAGGTGGCATTAAAGAAAGGTATTAAAAAGTCTTAAATCTGATTTGCTGGAACCTGCAGATCTCCTGCTTATCCAGGAGGAATCGGGTTCATCACTGTCAGAAGTACGAGTTAGGCTTCGAGCCCAACTCACTGACAGTTTGTTGTCATTCCTTAAAAACAGGAAGGACAACACACACCCTCAACAAGTCTTAAATTAATTTTAGTTTTGTCTGACTGGATGGTTTAATCTTATATATTCTTCATTTTTTTATGTATTTTCCTGTCAGGCAAAAGTTTGAGTTGAACTCAGAAATGTTGCTTTTTGAGGCTAACGCTAACTAGCTGCTAATACACCCTGGCTAGCTAGCATTTCTGAGTCTCTCATGGGAAGTGCAAATTTATCGCTGGTTGGCTGGACGAAGTTCATACTTTTCTGTAGAGATACAGGTATTAAACTTTATTCTTAAGTCTTAAAAAGTCTTAAATTTGATTTGGTGAAACCTGCAGAAACCCTGAACAAGCTGTCCAGGCTGCAGGTCGGGGTTAAAGGTCAGTCTGACAGATCATAACCTGCTGCTGTGTCTGGTCGGTCCAGCAGGGGGCGCCGGCAGCAGGAAGAGCCCCAGCCTGCTGGGTCTGGCCGCGGTGAGGGGCCCGCGCTCCGAGGAGCTGCCGCTCTCCATCCCAGAGCTCCCAGTGGAGCGGGAGCTGAAGCTGGAAGAGTCTCCCACCACGCCCAGTTCCACCAGCAGCCAGCAGAGCAAGGCCACGCTCACACGTCAGTACACACACACACACACACTGTGTAAACCTGAGCACCTGGGTGAAGGTCAGCATGTTTCTCCAGTGTCTTTCTGGTACATTTAGCTGTTAGCCTGACTGATTTATTAGTGATGGAACACAGTAACCCTCGCCTAAAATTTTTCCTAATAATTGGAGCAAAACACTAAAAATCTTTGTTGAAACATAAAAACAGACCTTAGACTTTTAAATCCACATCTTAAGTAAAACTTTAGTGAATTCAGACTGACTCAGCAGAAGTGTTTTTGCTCCACGAAGGTTTTAGTGAGAGATGAACCGATGTAGCAACCGGAGCGGCCATTTTGGGCTAATTGGACCAAAACATTATAAATGTGGGTTTTTTACCTCCTAAAAGTGAATCTGGTCAAATCAAAGCTCTGGTTTATGTGGCAGGACTTTGTCTTAGCACCCTATTGTGAAATTCACCCTGTTTATCATCACTTTGGACATCATGAAGTCCATAAAGTCGAAATAAAATAAACTGCATTGGATTGTTTTGAATCCAACTGGAGGAATTTTGCTGAAAGTTTCACCCAGATTTCTTCCAGATCGGTCATGTTTCTAACAGGTGAGAAAAATCACTTCTGTAACGATCCGAACAAAGACGAAGGTGTGCGTAGCTTACGCTGATGAGCTGAGCGAGACGTAAAGCTGAACCAGAAGCTCCAGTTTGAACAGAATTACATCACAGGAAACGTTAAAAAGAAAAGTTTTAAGTTATATAATCAACACGTGTCACCTGAGAGTTAGAGCTAATAAATGTTTAAAAAACTCTAAAACCATAAATATTTGGGTAAAATTCAGCCCCTACAAAGTTTCTCTGTATTTAGCGTTAGCATAGCCAAGATCCTTGTTTAGCGTATTAGCAGTTAGTGAGGCTAAACTGGTACTCCCGTTGGTTTTACAGCCATGGCGGCCATTTTGAAAAATGTCCGCCAGAAAAGAGAAACGCGAGATAAAGAAAATATATTGTGATTTCTGTGCTTCAAAATATTTAGGCTGTGATTTGACACCAAATATGTTCATCTAATAGATTCTGTTGGTTAAATTATTTATGATTTTACACCAAATATGTTCACCTGTGATTTTGGAAGATTTAGTGAAAAATAATTTTCTCTCGACAACCATAGCGGCCATCTTGAATTTTTCAGTGGTAATTTAGCTGTCAGTGTCGCCACGGTGTTCCTGATCCTCTGACCATCAGTCAGCTGACCGTCAGCCTCATTAATACTAAAGATGGCCGACTCTTTGCAGCAGGAAGCTCTAGAGACGGCGGCGCAGCGACGAAGGCGGCGGCGAACGGCGACTCTCCGTCCACACCGAGGGCCATCAGCGACCTGGCGGCACGCCGCGCGCGCCATCGCCTGCTGTCCGGAGACGCAGACAAACACGCGGCGAGCGGCGGCGCCCGGCCGTTCACCAAGGTCATCAAGTCGGCGTCGGCCAATACGCTGTCGCTGGTGATCCCAGGAGGTCGGTTCGACTCCCAGAGCCGTCGGCGCCGCAGGACGTTCCTCTGACTCGCCTCCGTCTGTCCGCAGATCACCACGGAGCGTCGCCGTTGGCCAGCCCCATGTCTCCACACTCGCAGTCGTCCAATCCGTCGTCCCGGGACTCCTCGCCCAGCCGCGACCTTTCCCCGGCCGTCAGCAGCGTCCAACCCGCCATCGTCATCCACCGAGCCGGGAAGAAGTACGGCTTCACGCTGAGAGCCATCCGCGTCTACATGGGAGACTCCAACATCTACAGCGTCCACCACATGGTCTGGGTCAGTACCGGGCCACCGGAACCGCTCCCACATCCGGTTCTACAGAGTTCTGCCTCCTAAACCAGTAAACACATCAAGCTTCAGTTTCCAGGAACTTCCAGGTTGTTTTTCCAAAGTTCCCAGGTTATTTTCCAGGATGCATTTCCATAAGGTTGATTGACAGCGATAAGACCCGCCTCCTGGCTCTGATTGGCCGTCTCTATCCTTTCAGGTCCAATCCTAGCATCTTAACATTCAGCAAAAGATGAAAATGTTTCACCAACTTCAGACGATGGAAAAGCAGATCCTGTTCTCCTGGATTTAGTTTAGTTTCTGGATCTGGAACAAGTTTTAATTTAATAAATCAGAAACATTTTTCTTTTAACTCTTTAAGTGCCTTGAAAGCAGTCGGTAGGTTTGAGGAACAGTGCTTTAAGTAGGACGTTTTGCAAAACTGAAAGCAGGAGGTGCTGACCTTGGCTGGGATGTGAACTTTGACCCTAACTGACGCTCTCCCCCCTCAGCATGTGGAGGAGGGCGGCCCGGCGCACGACGCCGGCCTCAGGGAGGGCGACCTGATCACCCACGTGAACGGCGAGCCGGTCCACGGCCTGGTCCACACCGAGGTGGTGGAGCTCATCCTGAAGGTAAGGACGGCTGCAGCCAATCAGAGCCCTCCGTCTGCGTGCTGGAGGCAGCCAATCAGAGCCCTCGTTGATTCTGCTGTGTTTTCTCAGAGTGGAGCCAAGGTGTCCATTTCTGCCACGCCGTTTGAAAACACGTCCATCAAAGTCGGCCCCGCCCGCAAGACCAACCACAAGTCCAAGATGGCGAGACGCAACAAGAAGACAAAGAGCAAGGAGGGACAGGACAGGTGGGGTCAATCTGGGGTCAATCTGGGGTCGCCACCATAGAAACTGCCACCATGAGGAAGAGATGAAGGTTTCTGAGCCATTAGCTCATGACGAAAACTGTTTGGATCAATAAATATTTATTCATTTATAAAGTTAAAATGAGCAGCGATATTTCGAGTTATTTAACTTGTGATGAGAGAAATAAATCAGAGTTCATGCTTCAAAGTCAAGTTTTAGTTTTTCATTCATAAATGTGATGATTTCAAACTAAAGTTAAAATCTTTAATTGTACACTACAGATTTATCTGGCTGTCTAACTAGGATAAATGCTGAGCATGCTAACTAAACAAGTATTAACTACCAAGCTAAATATTTAGTTTGTAAACTATTAGCAGGAGGTGAAGCGTTTCCAAACAGAGCTGAATCATCTGTGGTGACTTTCTGTAACGTCATCAGAATAATCCCTGAAACGGCAGCAGCAGCGCCGCTTCCAGATTATTTGGGTGAGACCTGAAGTGGGCCGGGTTCTGGACCTTAGCTTGCTGATGTCTGTGTGCAGTAAGAAGCGGACGTCTCTGTTCAGGAAGATCACCAAGCAGGCGTCGCTGCTGCACACCAGCCGCAGCCTGTCGTCGCTGAACCGCTCGCTGTCGTCCGGCGAGAGCGGCCCCGGCTCGCCCACCCACAACCTGTCGCCGCGGAGCCCCACGCAGGGCCACCGGTCCACTCCGGACTCCGCCCACTCAGGTGAGTCCTCCGCACAGAGTCCGGGTCCGGTGGAAGGTTCTCCTCTAACCGGGCCGCTTCTCGTCCCAGTGGGAGGGAACTCGTCTCAGAGCAGCTCGCCCGGCTCCAGCGTTCCCAACTCCCCGGCCGGCTCCGGCCACATCCGGCCCAGCTCTCTGCACGGCCTGGCCCCCAAGCTGCAGCGCCAGTACCGCTCCCCCCGCCGCAAGTCCGCCGGCAACATCCCGCTGTCACCGCTGGCGCGCACGCCGTCTCCGACGCCGCAGGGCAGCTCGCCGCAGCGCTCGCCGTCTCCGGTGCCGGGCCACGCCGCCGGGCCGGCCTTCCCCGTCAAGCTGCACTCCTCCCCGCCGCTGGGCCGCCAGATGTCCCGGCCCAAGAGCGCCGAGCCGCCGCGCTCGCCGCTGCTCAAGAGGGTGCAGTCGGCCGAGAAGCTCGCCGCCTCGATGTCCGGCTCGCCGTCGTCGCCCGCCGCGGTCGGGGGGGCGGCGGCGCGGAAACACAGCCTGGACGTCTCACACTCTGAGTTCAAGAAGGAGGTTCTGCAAAGGGAGCCGAGTCTGCAGAGCCTCCAGGTAAAAGGTCACCGGGGGTCACCGGGGTCGGCGTAGCCACCTTCACCATCAGAACGGTTATTTAAACAGAAACACATTAAAACAAATCGGGCCTAAAATGTAAAACTGTATTTTAACTACAGCAGAAAATCAGAGAAGCAGCAGCGTTTACAACGCGGCCGACGATTAATTTACTGATTATGGTTTATTAGATTAGATCGGCTCCAGCCACTCAGATCTCCTTTCAGTGTTGTAGTTTAACCTCCATCCTGCAGAGGGCGCCGCTGGTTCAGTTTGTACAGGAATAAAGCCGGCGGCACCATATCGGAAACGGTCCAAACAAAGTCTGATGGGAAGAGTGTATAGGAAACAGTTTTCTGTTGAAACGGAATCAGTTTTTTAGAATGTAAAGATCGATTTCAGCGATCGCTTTACACAAATCAATATTTGCACATTCAGTAAATAATCACGTATTTATCGGGTGAATTCTATCATCATTTTAACTTTCTGGCCAGCAGGAGTCGGGCGGCGAACCGATGCTGGCGCCCGTCGGGCGCGGCGTCGAGCACGGCAGCCTCCACAAACACGCCGCCGCCTCCAGGAAGCTGGGCCGCCAGGAGGGCGAGGGCGCCGTCGGCATGGCGACCGGGTCGCTGGGCCTGACCTCTGGGAAGAGCAAGCTGAAGGACAAGCTGTCGGCCATCCGGCAGGACCGCGCCGAGCGGCGGGAGTCGCTGCAGAAGCAGGACGCCATCCACGAGGTCGACTCCTCTGAGGACGAGACGGACGACGGCTCCGAGGACAGCCAAGATGGCCGCCGCGCCGCCGTCTTCACGCCACCGCCGCTGCTGAGGCCCACCTCTGTCCGGACGGGGCCGGCCGGCACGCTGCCCTCCCTCTGCCACGTGCCGCCGGTCGCCAAGGCGATGGCGGACCGGCCGGCTCAGAGCGCCGCCACGGGAAAACCGGACAGGAACGCTCCGGAACCGAGCGAACTCGCTGGGCCTGGCCCGGTTCCCTCCAGCTTCTCCACCCCCGGCAGCGCCTTCATGTCCGTCAGCAAGCCGCCCCCCCAGGCCGATGCCCAGGGCCCGAAGCCCACGGCGCCCCCTGCAGGCGCCTCCCCCGGCGTTCCCAAAGAGCAGAAAGAAGCCGACAACCGGCGGCTCTGCGCCGCCGCCGCGACCGTCCCGGCTCCTCCTACCGAGTCCGGAATGGACCGGGTCGTGTCTCAGATCGCCACCGTAGCTAAGAGCGTCCTGGGTCCGGTCAGAACCGCGCCACCCGGCAGGGCCGCCTCCAGAACCTCGACCCAGTCCGACCGGGCCGGATCGGAACCGGCCCACGCCTCAGCCGACCCGCCTGCCGCCCCGGCCTCCGGCAGGAAGACGTAGCAGCAGAACCGGAGCTGCAGAACTGTTCTGACCCGGTAGATCCATCCGGCCCGGTTCTGACTGCTTTCTGTTACTTCAGTGTTCCGATTCCCGCTTCAGCCAAAACGACCCGGATTTGGGGCTGTGGACCCAACGACGGCCTGGTTCTGGAGTTGGTTCTGTGACCCGTTAATGAGCGTCCAGAACCATCCGGACCTGACGCTGTTTCACTGCGGCCTAACCGGAACAGAACCCCGACCCGATCCGCTCCGTCATTTAAAGGTTCTGTTTCAAACAGAACCGACCCGAAGTTACGATAAAATGCTTGGACCGGCGCCGCCTGCAGGCCGGACGTCGACCCGACGGGTCAGACTGATTTAATCTGATTCCCAAAATCGTTTAAACGTTGTGAGGCCCCCTGCTGGTGAGTCTGAGCTACTGCAGCCATTTCCTCTAAAGCTCCCAGTAAATAAAAAATATTTTTACGTCCCAATAAATATTAACAAAAGTTTAAAATGCTGAAATAGAAAAGTCAGATTAAACATGCAGAACCTCCTATGGCCACCAGGGGGCAGCTCTGGTAAATAAGCAATAAAATGACTGCCTGGTTCTGGTGGAGGTGTTCGTTTGGATCCAAGCTGAGCAAGCAGGAAGTTTTCAGACCCGATCACCAGGAAGCTGCTCGGCAAACTGTCACCTGCTAGCATGCTAACATGCTACGCTAACCGAGGTTTTCGCTAATCGTTTGTTAGAATTCAGAAATGCTTGAAGCAACAAAACCCAGCAGGATGAGGAGATCCGACTCGCCGCGGCGCCACCTGTTGGGGAAAATCCACTGTTGCCTTCGGTTCTGGGAGCTTTTGACGCTAACGTCCCTCTGGTTCTGATGTGGTCCAGTCAGTCGCCCTGTTCTGGACTCTCAGAACCCAGAGCGCCCCCTGCAGGCCGGACCTCCACACCGCCGTGCGTTTGGTCTCCAGCCCCGCCGCAGTTTCCTTTGGACCAACTCGCTGTGTTGCTGCCTCCAGTCTTGTGAAGTCACTTCCTGTGTGTGTGTGTGTGTGTGTATTTAAGCAGTTTTTACCCTGTGTGTGTTTTAGGGTCAACGTGTCGAGTTCTGTTCGGACCAGAGCTGGTTCCGAGTCGCTCTGCTTTTCCTCGCGTTCCGACCCGGCAGTCCGATGTTTACATGTCCTTCATCTCTTCCAGCGGGTTCTTTACGGCCCGTTTGGCGCCACGGCAACCCCTGTGGGCCGGTTCTGCTCCAGACCCGGTTGTTGGACGGAGCCGGTTCTGACAGGCTGCAGGAAACGGGACGACACTGGACCTGTTTTTATTTTCTTTGTCACGTTTGCCTCTCTGTGTGGAAGTTTCTGCTCAGAGACGGAACCGAACCAGAGATCCGGTTCCAGAGTCCAGACTGCTAAACGGTGCCGTCTGACCCAATCAGCTGCAGAGAACCTCGCCTTCACCTCCAGAACTTTCATTCTGATCAGATATCAGAATAAAAACTTTAATAAAAAATTCATCAAACCTGCAGAGAAAAAATAAAACAGATTTTATTCTGTTTTTCACTCAAACAGGATTTTAGATCTTTTCTTTTGTTTCCTCCAGAATCACCGGGTCCGGTCGGGTCGGACCTTCCTGTCTGGATCGAGTTTTATTACAGAGGAAAGCAGGAAATGGAACCAGTTTGAGTGTTTTCACCTCTGCAGCCGGGTCTGGTTCTGATTCTGGTCCCCGTTCCGGGTCTGGTTCTGATTCTGGTCCCAGTTCTGGGTCTGGTTCTGATTCTGGTCCCAGTTCCGTATCTGGTTCTGGTCCCAGAGCATGGAAGAGCCGATGATCTGATCCGCTGAGGTTCTGGGAATGAGAAGAACCCGTCTCCAGAACCGGAACCTTAACTTGGGCTGCTACCGACCGGGTCTGAGAGCCGAGGCGGTTCTGACCCGTAGAGGAGTGAAACCAGTGCAATACGTTTTTATTTTCTAACGTGGTGAAAAGCATGTTGTTGTCCGCCGAACCTTGCAGTAATAAAGTTTTTTTTATCAACATGGCGGCTCCTCCTTCGTCTCTCAGCCGACGTCTGATGACGTTTATGGTTCTAGTCGGGGTTCAAGTCAGTTGTTGCTGTTTTTAACTTTGACAGTTGTTCCTGTACGTAACCATGGTAACAAGGTGTTGCTTTTACACTGACAGTAGCTGTTAGCATCCCAGAAGCTTGAACTACGACCCCAAACCCAGAGGAGTGAAAAAGGAGGAAGTTCAAACCGACTCTTCCTTCCATCATGACGGCCAATAGAAGATCTTTGGCAAACAAAATGGATGAACTTCAAACTCACAACAGAGCTTTAGGTTTATTGATGGTGTTTAATGGAAACTGGCTGCAGGATCAGATGCCCTACTCTAACATCTCTAACCAAGTGATTTAAAGAGTGGCAAAAGCAAAGGAGGTGGGTTAGCAGTGATGATGTCATATATCAGACATGTAACTTGGCATGTGATGGAACTGACATACAGCAGCAGTCTTCAGTCAGAGGCCCCCTCAGAAACGCTGGTAGGCTGACTGCTACTGGAGATGCTTCCTGCTTACGGCGACTCCAGATGAAATTATTTCAGTTACAACATTTAAAGGATTTTTAAAATTAAATTAAGAGCCTAAAATCTTCCAGGGATGTGAGTAATGTTAGTATGAACTGAAACCTGGAGATGGTCCTGAATGCAGGAATAATGTTTCACCCTGATGGCCACAGTGGTCTAGTCCAAGCCCGTTGAGCTGCGGGTTTCCCTCCGAGATGGAGGCGCGCTGACAGGCGGCCCCGGGCGATGAGCCGCCCGCTGCCGTGAATCCTTCCGGTGTGAAGGACCTCTACCGGGTCAACCCGGTTCTGAGCCACAAGGAGAACCGGACCGGACCGGACCGCCAATTCAGACAAGAATTCAGAAGCCCTGCTGTGGTCGAAACCAGGTCAGAACCGACACATGTAGCTTTCCAGCTAAATAGCTACTTTGCTAATTTAACCTGCTAACTAAATATTTAAATTTATTTAGAACAGGCTAGCGTGCTAACTAAATATTTAGCTTGCTAGCTAAGTATATTTTTTTAGCAAGGTAAGTTTTTAATTTGGGAAATAAAGGTTTATTTTGACAACTTAGCTTGCTGAAGGCTAACGTGCTAACTAAATGTGTAACTTACTAATTTATCTCTAGATAAACATTCAGCTAGGTCAGCGTGAAAAAAATGCAAATTTAGCTTGCTTAGTAAATATTTAAATAGTTAGCAAGTTAAATATTTTGTTGGGTAGCTTCAAAAATTAAGACCAACCTATATATTAGCTCAAAAAATAAATATTCATTCGTGATATTTATAAATGAACACCCATTTTTATTCTTGATCCTCGGCTAAATGAACCTAAATATTGCTGTTAGTTTTTACTGTGTAATTTAAACAGCCTGCAGGCTGAAACGGCTTCATTTTTACTGCACCAGCGTTTGTTTCCGGTCAGCCCGGCTGCAGGTTTCCGGTCAGCCCGGCTGCAGGTTTCCGGTCAGCCCGGAGCCTCCAGGAGGCTAATAGTGCGTGAAACAGCTGTGAGGACCGAGCTGCATGTTGGCTCATCTGGTTTACAGACAGAACTCCATGTGACTGGAGGAAGAGTAACATTTTAAATAAAATAAATCCTCAGGCTTTAAACTGTATAATCAAACAGCTAAATGGACTCCAACAGAAACATTTATCATCATTACTATTTGCATTTTTCTACTCTGCAGCTTACTGGCTGGGAGGAACAAGATTATACTAAAAATGTGATAAAGACATTTATTTTCATTGACCATCAGAAGTTTCTGAAATCTAATATGTTGCAGCTGAAATTACATATTTTTGATAAAATAATTAGTGTGAAACTGAAAACAACATTTACTTTCAGTCCTGGAGAGCCTGGCGAACCACAGGGCTGAGTTCCTGGCCCACTTCTCCTTCAGCTCAAACGTTTCCCCAGTTACTCTGCACAGCTGACATAATATTCAGTCATACATAACCGAGAAGGCATACAGACCAGTGAAACGATACTGAAAAGTCCGTTTATTTTAATATACAGATTTATTACCCAGACTGGCGTTTTCCAACTTTTATTCCTGTTATGATTTTCTGCTTATAGTTAGTTGAAAACATGACTTATAAAATTAGAATAGTACATCAGATCAATAATAAAAATAACTTCATAATACAGAAATGTGAGTTTAATAAAAAATATTTTTTTTTTTATCACCAGCTTAAAGCTTATTTTCAAAAGGTTCTTTTTTATCTCAGAAATCGTATTGAATATGACTTTGTCTCTGGATAAAATGGGAATAAAGTCTGTTAAAATGTTTATTTAATGTCTTTACACCAAGTTTACAGCAGAAGATCCTTTAGATCACATGTGTCAAACTCAAGGCCCGCGGGCCACATGTGGCCCGCCACGTCATTTTATGTGGCCCCTCCAGCATTT